TTTCTTCAGATCATTGCTGAAAGTACCGAAATGTTTTTATAAACGTTTAAAACTGTTTGAAAAATTTTTTCTAGCGTGAAGCACGGATTTCATGAGAACACTGCGAAAAAATGGGTCCGGTTTACGGAAAGTACCCATTTATTTTCATGGTTATATCCAAAGGCTTGTAAAGTCAGATCTTAGTTCAGCTTCTTATGTGGAAAACAACTTTGTGTAGCTTAGCCTAAACCTACAGAACACATATGAGAAATTCACTTTTGCAGCAGGCCTATTTTGAAGGCAGTGCACCCGGCAAAAAGTCGATTTTAAAATTTTTTGCTTACCCTGTCCTAATCTTTATCCAAAATCTTCTAAATCCAAAAATCCACATTGACAGCGCGAAAATGGCGAAATAAGCTCTAACGCAAAAGGGAAATCAGAGTGAGCGGGTGTTCTCCACCATGAATTCACGCTTTCAGCTGATTTTCTCGGTTCCGGTTTCAAGTCAATTGTTCGCACTCGGCCGGTGGTGCTGTTAGGCCAGCAGAATCGAGAAGATCGCTCCCGAAGATAGGAGCGTGAATGCACAGTAGGGAGGACCCCGCACCTGCTGATTTCCCTGCGGCGCTAGAGCTTTATTTCACCATTTTCGCGCTGTCCAATGTGGATTTTCTGATTCAACATAGGGCTGCATGTCAGGAAGTACGCCGGGCGCGGCAGCTACTCTGCTGCGCACGCCCCATTTAAATCTTGGGACCTCCAAAACTCCCAGCTTTCAAAGATTACAGGCGGCAAAAACATTGGGGTTAGGGTGGGGGGCAGATACACGAGTCATGCCATAGATAACATTGCGCCAAGAGTGCTGCTGTTATATTGGTAAGTACGTTATGGCGACTCTCGAAAAATTCGCACTGACTGTACCTCCTGACTGTTCCTCCAGCATAGCGAATAAGCCCTGGTAAGCAAAAAATCTCAAAATTGATTTTTGTCCGAACACTGCCTTTAACAGGACTCCAGGACGCTGATTGGTCGTACGAGTGGTCAGGGGTTTGGGATCGACACTCGACTGTTATCGTTTGAGTTCCTCTCCAAAAACTGGAATATTTAACTTAAAATCCACTAGGACAGAAAGTGATCTCAGAATCTTTGCAGAATGCCTCACAAGCGAGCAAGCAGTGATATAGTAGTAATAAGTGTTAGTATTAGGGATATTTAAGTATTCTAATTTATTGTTATCTTTAAAAAAAAACAAAGAGCTGCCACCAAAAATTCAATACATAACATGATCACAAAACAACCGGTAACATGCTTTCTCATAACAATGGTTCGACTGGCAAAAGGGTTTCCCAATTTGACCGATCGCTGTGAAACAAAAGCTATGAAAAAAATTGTTCAAGTGGAAATGGAATATGGCAGCACATAATGAATAACATGCGTTTGCGGCTCATATGAAAGGGAATAGCGTAGGCGATACTACAGTCATAGCTGGAAAAAGGCAAATTTTGAATTACGAAAAGAAAAGAGGGAAATATCGGAAGCAATGTTCTATCGTCTATTCAATGAATATGACGGATTCCTCCATGTTCTGGTGAGCCACAAGTTGGGCCTCTCACCACCACCCACCCCGCCGTGCTCATTTCCTGCTTCCTTCCGCGATCCGATATGATCGCAAGATAATGGAACGTATACGAACGCTTATATAATAATACTAATACTAATACTGCTAGTCCAAAAGCAGAGTCAGAATCACTAAGCGGGGCTTGTACTTGGTTTCCCAACTAAGCATATGCATTCCGAGGCACCTGGGGAGGTGCTGTACTTCCACCATTGAAACCAGAGTTGCGCTAAGGGGGGCAATGGATCTCACTCCCCCCCCCCCCCCATACGTTTAAGCCAGAACCCGGATGAGCACCTTCACCTGAGGCTGATTTGGGAAGGTAATCTGAGAGTGAATCATAATCAAAAAGCTGCTGGAGATTCACGTCAGTCGTGAAACACAACAACCACAAATTCCATGAAAAGAATTTCTATCAGTTACAATGAGAATTATTACAGTAATTGCTTTTTTCGCACTATCAATGGCGTCTACAGTAGATAGTGTAGCATAGAAAATTAACTTAATTCGAGGAAAAATAATCTGGAAGTATAAACACCCCAAAAAATGAATATAAGAATCAAAAAACATTTGAATTTCTTTTTATTCGCTGCCTCTTTCTTCCACGTTTCTTGGAAAAATATTTTTGAGCATATTTATTTACAAGCCTTAAAGGCAGCGGCTCGGCAGATCTTCAACTCTGGGGTTTTGACAGATTTGGGGCTATTCCGACCCCTTGAATCACGATATGGCGTGGAGCAAGCTAATAGCGCGAAAATGGGGAAACCCCGTTGTTTGAAACCCCCTCAGATAACCGCCGCGGGCAGGCGGCCATGCGAATTTTGAGCAAGCGCGCACCGGAAAATTATTAGGTTGATGCAAAAGGAATGGCCGACTTGCGGATTCTCACTTTATGTGCTATAACTTTCTAAAAGATCCACATTTCTGAATGCAGTAAAAACCCCCAGAAGCATCAAACCTTTCGCAATACAGCGCATACTTATATATACTCAAATCATAAACGGGAAGAGAAATACGGACTAAAAGACAAAGAGGTTCTTCTGCTAAAACCTTGTTTTTGACAATTCATAACCTCTTTCAGAGTTTGTTTATATGAATGAGAAGTGGTCTATCTTGTAGCCGCAAGCCAGTAATACAAAATACAATAAAAAGAATTTGGACAAAATAGTTTGCGAGAAAGAAAAAATTGAAACTTAAAATTTCTGTTTTTTTTCAGTGTGCCTCAAAGTCCGGAATATAGAATTTTCTGATTTTTTACGTACTGAACAGCTGGATGTTTTTGCAAAAGCTGCTAATAAATGTCCTAGCTCTACGCTTACAGAATTGAGCAAAGCTTCGGCGCCTGACTTCCTCAGAAGAAAATTATGGGTCATAAAATGACCGCAATAGCTACCCATGTTTAGGCCCGATATCTCAGTCTGGATAACTTCAAAGAATGCAGTTAAGTATGCGTAATGAGAGAATTTCTATTACATACAAAAGCTGAATTTTTGAAGAAATCTCATTGATACGCGCTTGAATTCTGGCCGGGAAAAGTGAATGCAATAAAATTCTGAATTTGGATGCGGTTATTTGAAGCTCAGTAACTTTATGAGAGATGAGAATGAGAGCCCTTTTCAAGCACCATTAGATAGAGAATGAAAACAGCTTCGCGATGGTATACTACGTCTGTTGTAAAAAAGAAGTATTGATGGAAAAAAGTTGCCCTGAAAAAAGGCTTGAAAAATCGGCCATTTCTTTTGCATCAACCTAATAGTTCGTTGATTTTTTGCGGCCCGCTTGCAGAAATTTGGAAGAAAGTTGGCAAAATTAAAGACGAATGCTTGAAGAACAATCGCGGTTTCTTTATGGATTAGCTGCGGCGCAGTGGCCGCATTCTCGCGGACTTTCCGCGAGAATATGCAAAAAATTTGAGGGCCGCACGTTCCTTTGTGGAGGACCGCGCAACTCCCAGGTACTTTCCGCTGAGAGAAAGTACCTCAAACTTGAGTAATTAAACCAACGGTGACACCTCTGCCACACAGAGTCTTACCTGCGCTCGACGTATGCCCGAAAATACCTAAAAAGAGTCCGAGCGCTTGCTGAAAGTTTGGCCAGCGCTCGCTGGAAGATATTATTTGACGACCGCTCGCAGAAAATTCTGTATTGCTGCCCGCTGGCAGAACGCGGAAGTACCGCCCGCTAAAGGTTTGGCCACGCCCCAAAATTCTGCTGACCGCCTGCAGAAAAGCGCGAGTTTGCGGACCGCCTGCCCCCGGCGATTATCTGAGCCCCTGAGACGGGCGCAGACGAGTGAGCCGTTTTCCTCTGCCATCAGAGACGCAGAGTAAGGAGGTAGAGAACGCTAGAAAACAATTTTCGCGCGTTTTCTAGCGGAGAACATACTCGTCCGAACAAGGTGTTAGGGGAGCGAAAGCAGGAAGGGGAGCGACGCTTGGGCCGCCCTCCTGGCTTGCAGAGTTCACATTTTCGGCGCGGAGTTGCTGTTTTGGTTCACTTGGAGGGTCTTCTATCCATCTGTGTCAAAATCTGAGGTAGGTCAATCTGCCGAGCCGCTGCCTTTAAGGTTTTCTAAGGCTTGTCACAGTTTTAAGGTAGATAAACAGATAGACGCCTTTGCCTGTAAGAAAAGCAAGAAAAAAAGCGACAGCCTAGGTCGATCCTCCATCATCTCAGCTTTCGAATGGTAAAAAGCATGTTAGGGCTTCTTTGCTTCCCGGCTCTAAAAAGTAATTGCTCCAGTGACCGATAAAACCCAATACATTGGAGGAGCTGGGTGGAGCAAGCTAATAGTAAATATCTCCACCCCAATTTTGAAAACTTGCAAGTTTTTTTGCCCAGCAATCTATAATATATACCATTCGAAAGCACTCTACCGAGAGATACACTGCATTTTATCTGAAATCATGTCCATTTTCAACAGCTGATTTCTGCCAAACGAAGACCTAATCACTGCTGTTTATCTATCTATGTTACAGAGCAAGTCTTCATTAACAAAAATAGATCGTCGACTTTCTCGTAGCCTTCATTTGGAGAGCAGAAAGTGAGGACACAGAATCAATTGATATGTGGAGTACGTAAAATCCCTCATATCTCGCGGCACAGAAGGCCTAGAAAAAGTCGACGGTCTACGTCGATTCTACATGACCTCAGCTTCGAAGGGTATGTAAGTTGTTGAGGCATTTTGCTTTCAGGGCTCACTTACTCCCTTCAACCTTACAAGGATGGGAGTAGCAGAGAGCCCCTCCATCTAGACAGGGCCCGGCTCCCCCTATCGCACCTATGATTGAAACCCAATACTTTATGAAGTGCTGAAGTGCTTGCAGAAATGCAGGAATCATCATTGCACCCATATTAGGCTTTATATTCGGCATGGGACCATTGATTCCAAGATAGCTGCGATTCGATGATAAGTGGTCAGTTCAGCCTGGACATTACCACGATCTTTGGTGATCAGGGCTGTGGTCGGCCTATGAAACGTCGAGCAGGTCGTTCCATTGCCGAAGCCACTTCAGCAGTAGCTGCAGGACCAACTCGTGGTCTTATATCCTTAGGGTCTAGGGTTAGTTTGTGGGACATGAATTTTTGCGGCTCTATGATTTCCCTTCAGCTTGCTCAGATCTTCCAAAAGAGTTGCTTCATCCACTACTGGGCGACGCGAGCGTCCCGATGACTGTCTAGCAGGATAACCAAAGGCGCTAGAAGGTGCACTCGTCGCTGTCTTTTGGTCCTTCTCCTTCTCTGAGGATTTGTGTCGAAGATTCTTAGAGTAGCTCGAGTGACCTGAAAAAAAAAGATGAAAAGCGAGATGTCACACAACAGAGCAGCACAATCCACCCAAATTCAAGGCTGGTCAGACTAATGTAGTATAATTGTCAGGAATCCAAGTGACTGCCAAAACTCGGTGCAAGTAACGTATTGCGACACGAGGAAATCACTCCAGAAATAAAAGCTTTTCAGGTAGCTAGCCCATTACATGGGCGATATAAAATGTAAGCCCGAAACTGGTCGACTATATTGAGTCTAGTTTCGGACCCACATCCTCTAGACCACCCATTGATGTGCGTAACGACCCCAACAGCATCCCACTTCTAGAGCGATTTTCTCGCTTCAAAAGGCTTTTTCGACAGTAGACTTGATCTATTACCTAGCTAGAAACCTCGCATTTGTACTGCACCAAAACCTCATCCACCCAGATTTGAATGAACGTGCATCTAAAGGATCGGTGACACACTGCCTCTCTTACTGCTGTTAGTGCTGTCAAATGATTTGATTACCAACAGTACAATCTCACTTCTGCAAGCAAACCCTCCTTTACATTGATCAATCCATCATTCAAAACCATTGACGGAAGTAAAAGCAGTTGCAGCAGCAAGAGTAGTAACAGCGGCAATGTATTAACGAATGCTTTCAAGAGTAAGATTCAGCCAGAAAACGGAATGAAGAGTGAGCAAGAAGAAAACACATTGCGACATAAATTCATCACTCTGGGAGGAAACAATGAGACAGCTTTGATAGACTTCAGCGCATCATTCCGAGATGTTTCAGCACATGTTGCATCGATCAGCTAGAAGACGAAATGAATGCAACAAAATGAGGATAATCTTTGAAACATCAGTTATACTAAACAGTCACAATAAGCCAAAGACGGCCCCGAGCTCGCTCAGAACTTTGCCTAGAGGGTTTCCTAAGCACGCTGATTACGGATATCATGCCTTTTCTACGTCTTGAGACTTTTTCGAGGATTATAATAGGTGTACAGTAGGTGGCTAAAGTGATGGATCTGTTCGAACTCTGTAAGGGGTACTCCCTGGCGTACTGATAACGTATATCGCACTCGTTCCGCATAATAAAGCCTTTTTCGTGGATTTTTAAGAATCTAAACGGCTGAAGAACGAAAAAGTTGCTCTTCCACGCACTGTAGCTTATCGTAACTTTGACAATGAGGCAATTCAGTGAAGGGGCATGAAATTTGCAGTCAGCATGGCTGAGAACTGCGTCAGGCGAAGTTTTGAGCAAATTTGCGATTCTCACATGTCTACCGTATACCCACCGTAACCCGAAAAATGGCGCCACTTTACAAAATGAATATGCTATTCATGTTCAGCTTGCCAAATAACCCCTTAGACAAAGTTTGGGGCAAATCCGCGATTTTGACCTCCTACCGCAATCCTACCGTAACTCCACAACATGGCACTACGGTGCGAAATAAGTGTGATATTCGTAAACAGCGTGCAAAACTACCGCCCTAGACGAAATTTTAGCAAAATCTGCAATTTTCATTTTTTGGGTCAACTAATGTGGAATAGCGCCGGGAAAACTATGTGAGGCTAAAGCCAGCCTATTCTCAAAAGAAAGATTCTCAAGAAAACTCCAGTAGTCTGATAGAACAAACTGCGAACAACATCGAATTAAAAGTCATAAAAAAGACAACTGGAATGAGAAGAGGGAAGAAGAAAAGAAGTTATAGAAACGTGTGAATCTACTTCTTCGACAGCTACGCCCTCTATCCGCGCGATCATCACGAATACGACACGATTCTAGAGACAGAACGTAGGGATATAAAGAAATCTCCGTGACATTCTTCTTCGATTAGTTTATTTGAAGACTCTATCGCTATTTCGTCCACCAATACAGCATCTAGGCAAGTGATCTATCCTAGCCTGAAATTGTGTGCATTTTTTGGGCGCTTTTTATCAATTTGAATGGGCAATCCCACAACGTCCAGACAATTCTAAAGCCAGCAAGAAGCCTTAAGTAAAAAGCAACTTCACTCATTTCCCAACCATGATTGCTTGAATAAAATTTACCTGAGCACAAGTATGGCGCTTCATCGGATGAAAACACAATTCACCCGCCACAATTTGCCATTAGTTCTTTAAAAAAGCATAACGTTCTAAATGAACATACAAGCAAGCATAGGAGCTAGAGATTGAAAAATTTGGAAACACGACGAGGAATGTGCACAATGATAATGAAGCAGCAATGTTTTCGAAGAAATTTGTCTCATAGAGATGAAGCTCTACTACGTTGTTGGAAACAGCTAGCTGTGTCATCAAAAAACCTGACTGTCACTATATGCGTTGAGCAAGAGGTCAGGCACAAGTCCTTCAAAAACGACCCCCCCTCCCCTGTGAAAGCCCCTAAAATAACACCTCCGCTTCACCTCCAGGACATTAGACTGTGATATTTTGAAGAAGACCAGCCTTTACTGGAGAATTCTTGTTTTTTGGCCGTTTGCCCAACTTTCTGCGTCTACACAACCACACGCAACTTGACGGCAAGTTTTGAACTTGGATAGCCCTCTTTTCAGGGTTATAGTTTTTGCAGGGGTGGAGTGTTTGGCTCTAAATTTTTAATCTAGCAAGAAGAGGTTTGCGCTCAACACTCATACTAAAAAAGAGCGATTTTTGAATATGGAAGGTAAGTTAAGGGGGTCAGGCGCAACCCCTCAAAAGCTCAGGCGGCCTGACCTTTTGAGGGGTTGCGCCTGACCCCATTAACTTTATAATCGAGGAAGCTTTTTTGTCCAAGTTTTATGTGACTCGCTAGCACAACTCTCGAAGATTTCACAATTTTATTTCTTTTGATTTCATTTTTTTTCATTTGATTTCTTGTTTCAAGTTGTTTCGGCCTTGTAGTAATCCGTAAAGTTAAAGCACTCAATGTGAAGAACGCGCCGGTTGGAAATTTGGCAGCACTTCTTACTTCACTATTTGAAACCGATATGAAGCCTGCTTTCAAGCATAGACTTGTAGGAACGTTACTTTGCTATGAGTATAAAAAGCTGACTATTTTCACTTTTGAAGTAAATGAAGTAATCAGTTAGTAAAGTAATCATGTTTGAAAATCAAGCTTTCTAGACGTTGCGAAACACTATAAAATGCGGTAGGTAGTGACCTTAAAGCTCATAGAGGTAATCTGACATGCTGATTGCGGAAATAATACCCATTTCACACAGCAAGCTTACTTGGCGACCTCGTAAAAGACGAAGACTTGAATTTGGCTGAAATTTAGATTGTGGAAACAATCAGTAGTATGCTGTTTACGACCGTCATTCCTTCAGTACTGGTGATTGCGATATCCACCGGACTAGCGCATTTCTTCTTCACCTTCGTAGTATCTCCCCAACCAAACGGATTCGGTTCTCAATTACGTCCCCCCCCTCAGTCATACCCTCAAGACGACCCCCCAGGTCGGGCGCGCCTGACCTCACGCTCAACCCTGGTCGCATCTGGGTTGCATCTAAATTTCTCGAAAACTATTGAAGTTTGTTGATTGAAATCTTGCAATAATACGAGGCCATCATCCTACTTTCTATCGTAAATTCAAGCTGTTTCACAATATCGCCGGTGAGTTACAAAACTTCAAGCTTAAAAATCCCAGTTTTTGTTCTTTGGGGACGCATTTAAATTTGCGAGAGATCCATCTAGATTATATCAAGCTCACTGCTCTTCAATGGCTGAGAAACTTTTTCCGTGGATAGTGGCACTATATTACATAGGCATCCATGTTCGACTGTTTATAAACCTTGGCGTAGTTGGTAGCCCAAGAATGGTACAGAACTTTATCACACAGAATAGAATACAGACTGGTGGTACAGAACTTTATCACACAGAATAGAATACAGACTGATGGTACAGAACTTTATCACACAGAATAGAATACAGACTGACGTTTCGGCGAACTCGCCTTCTTCAGAGTCTGAAAAGTCGGCGACACATAAATTAACTATCCGATCAAACACCTCGTCGACTACAGAAAGGAGCTCAACCCTCTAAGAAAAACAACAGCCTTGACAAAACCAAGTTTAAGCTAGTGCTCACCTTAGCAGATGATCATTTGGTGGGTACAGACCACTAATGTCAAATGCTACTGCCTTACTTTTATAGTTGACTAGTGACCCGTTCTGACCTGATATCATTATTTGAAGGCCACAGAGGGTTGGTCAAACAACCGGAAGGACGAGTGCCTAGTCATAACTAACGAGCTGTCACTATATCAGAGCCTCTGTCAGAATTTATTATCTGTCACTAGAAAATGGATTATTAGAAAACCAGTGCGTCACCTCTGCTTTGCAGAGGCTCGTACTGATCCCACTATCTTTATGTCTTCCTCATCCGCAATAATGACATTGCTTATCGTGTTATGCCGACTATCACGAATGATCTGTGAACAATTACTCATTTTTAAAGGTTTTTCATGTGAGATCGGTATTTTTACGTGGCTGAAACTTTTCCCGGAAGAACAAATGCAAATTTAAATTGGTTTTTGAACTGTTCATGGCTTGGTAGTCGCCTCAATGACAATAATTAGCATGGGTTCATCTATGTGCAAAAATCTTCACGAGTAATCAAATAGCATCTTGGAAAAAAATGAACATTTACACAGCCAATTCTTCTTGTATTTGTAAAGTAATAGACTTTTGGTTACCTTTTTGGTTAATGTTAATGTCTTACAAATATCTATGTAAAATTTATTCTTGACTTTGTAAAAAAAGTTCAAATGCGGCTCTGGTTTGGCGCGCCAAAACTCGTGTGGACCCGTTTGATGCGCAGTTTCCGTAGGCTCCACGCAGCGAATCCGCTCGTGCTTTCGGACCTACGTGTTGGTGACGTGCGTTGTGCAAAATTCTGGCTCGAGATATCTGCTGCAACCAGGGTCAAGCAAGGG